GTTTCCAGACATTGATATTTAGATAAACGAGAAAAAGAAAAATACGAGGCTTATTCAAAAGAAAATAATTAATAAAGTCCACTCAAACACTGCGTAAGATGCCACTCATTATCAAAACTTCAACAGTAATGACGAGGGAAAGATTTATTGATGTCGAGGGACAGAAAAATTTGTTTATAAATACTGTACTTATCCTACAATAATTCGTGTAACACAAATATTCGATTCCAAAGTGAGATTATTAAATAAGACATATTATAAAGTTTAAGTGTTCGTAAAGTGATAAACATATCTTAGATACACTCCTTAGCAGCAAACAGTACTTAATTAATAAGTATATAGAGATTAATGCATACGGCATTAATACTATGTCAAACAGTATCTTATCATTAACAAAGGCTTGGCTTTGCAATCGTCACACAATAAGCCAATTCACTTAAAACTAGCTGAAATATCCATACGGTAATTTCAGAATAGCCAAGTAACTGGAGTATACAAACACAATCTTAATCTAGAAACTGTATCTTGTATTGCAGGAATAAGAACTCAGTCACTGCCCCAATCAAAAAAGAAGGCAGACGCCAGACAGATCAACTTGAAAACCACGCAAAAATATCAATTATTATAGAGGAAATATGTTACAATGAACTAAGGCATGTAAAATACCATAATAAATAAAATTTATTAAATATCATAGTGCATAGACAAATATATTTAGCCTCACAAGAGCATTTAACAAAAGATCTCATATTAATAGAGCTAAGATAATTATAAGAAAGATCGGCAGAGTCAAGAAAACCGACAGATAATACAACAGAGCAAGCAACAACGCTACAATAAGTATACAGTAATTGTACAAACAAACACATATATTCTCTCAGGAATGAAATCGAGAAAGTAAGACTATAAATAATCATCCTACCATTGACGCAATGAGATGACCGTAACAGCCCAGAATGTAGGCAGACAAGAAAAATATAGTAGAATCTGCTGATAAACTTTTCCATTAACAAGTAACGCATCTGATCCAAGATAAAATATATAATACAGAGCATACGTTTCTGCAATGATTAGCCTCACATTTGGTAGGAGAGCATAAAAACCGAAACATAACTAAGCAGTTACAATTTCTATCATGTATCTAAACCCAAATTGAGCCTCATATATGATAAACTTAAGCTAATAAAAATAATTTACATCTTAACAGTTTAACAATCTGATAATATACTTAACAACTAAAATAAGAATGTATTATCAATTCCATTTACGCAGGTATAAATAAATTAAGTCTGAAGAGGTTTCCAAACATAATTAAAAGTACCAAGTCTTGAGACTTGGAACTTAACGGTCGAATAAAAAATAAAAAAAATAAAAAGTATAATAAATTATTATAACTAAATGTCAAACCGCAATTTTAATAATTTCAATCGATGTACGACGAATAATGCAATATTGTAATAGGTATCGCATCAAATCAACTTCATAAATCATTCACTAGAAGAAATATGTGACTTAAATTTCCACGCATATATAACTACACTGCAGCACAATCAATAAATTTAATATTAAATCATATATAATGTAAATTATACTGATCATTCAGATAATAATCAAATTGACACAGTCCATAAAAATGCCCAAATGTCTATACGTCACAGCCTAGCATCAATAAATACACCAGAAGAAGGGATTTTCAGTCAAACTCCAGAGCAACACAGGAACTCAGTGAGCATTAAATACGTTGATTCACTTTAATCTTCTATAAAAGAGAAAAGAGAGAAGTTATATTTAGGATTATCAAAACACACATATAATTCTCATCACAGATGAGAAAAATAACTTAACAAGGATGTGCTGCTTTTATGGGCTAACATCCTGACATATAAAAAACACATGTGATGACTATATAAATTGACTATGTATATAAAATAATAATATTTAAAAGTAACAAATAAAACGTATCCAATAATAGTATTAATTAAGATATTATAAGTTACCTCATATTTGCAATTAATATCAAGAGACATAAAGAGGTGTAGCGGATTTAGTGCTTTGCCCGGAAGGGGCTGCGCAGGCAATGCCTTGCCAAGGAAGGCCGGTTCGAGTTCGTCACAGATCTGAAAGGCAGATGCGGGCAGTGAAACTAAAACGCGCTACGATTTGAATTTCGACCGTCGCCAGCAACGTCTCGCGAAGTTCTGGTCTGGGTCACTTTTATTACTGTACACTCAATCAACAGGACTAGAACGTGACAAAGTCATAACGTCGAACGAACAAAGGCGCGATATTTACAACGATCATGAAAAACCAATAACACAGGACGACGAAATCGCACGTACAATGCCAACAGGGGCACCGCGAACACGGGAACAACACGTGACAATGTTTTCTCACGTAGCGTACAATGCCGGCAAGGGCACCGCGGACGCGGAAGAACGTTCGAGAATTAACTACTAGAAATGGTATGACGCAACGAGCAAAGAAAAGAAAGAACGCACGAGAAAATATGTCGCTCGCAGAGGAGAACGAAGCGCCTGAAACGCACGGCGCGCGAAAGCGCGAGACGCTCGCAAAACGCAGGGAAAACGCAGACTAAGACATGCTACACGGACGGAAGACAGGACGGTGCGTGTTTACTGGCTAACGGAACGCGGGCGCGGATAAGACAGAGCGCACGCGAAAATGTATGACGACATAATTATGAGCGCGAAAGAAAAAGAACAATGAAACTGGCTGACGCGGGTGAACGCGGAACGCGGCTGCAAAGCCTGCAAAGATACGGCTATGAACGTCACTCGCGAGCGAGAGAGAGACGCACAGTTGAACACTCACGGCGCGAGAATGACGGAACTAAGACTAGCCAGAGAGAGACACCTCTCACGCGCGAAGTAGAAAGAGCGAGACAAGAATTCACGCGCGCAAGAAAGAGAGAGCACGAGCGCACTCGCGTGTGCGCGCAAGCGAGAGAGGCGGAGGCGCACGCGGAGCGAGAGAGGCGGAGGCGCATACGGAGCGAAAGAGGCGGAGGCGCACGCGGAGCGAAAGAGGCGGAGGCGCACGCGGAGCGAGAGAGACGGCGCGCACACACGCAACAGGCACGGCGCGACGCACGTGGTTGCGCAGAGCCGGCGAGACAGAGTTTCGACGCACCACAGCTTTTATCGCGTACACGACACTCTACACTGCGCGGTCACTGTCACGACCGGTCACAACGCCGCGACACAGACGATACCGGGGGCCACTCACTCTCCACCAGACGTGTGTTTGCCGCGAAACCGCCGACTGACTCGCTATGGCCGACCGAGTTACCGCGCGTGGTAATGGCCGACGAGGAAGAAGACGGAAGTCACCACAGTGGTCGAGGCACTAGAGTCTGCTTCCGCGGAAGACGGTGGCGCCCGGTGACGGGCGCGCGAGGCTGCGGAGCAGCCGCCGGGAGC